AACTGAAACCCAATTTCACCCATCCAATGTGTCCAACTCTGATTGGTATTTAGCATTTTAAAGCCCTCCACATAAGCACTTAATTGAACCCAAATTGAAGCCCTGAGCTCCACCCTTAGCCCCTCTATTTAAACCACCTTCTCCATGGCCAAAGGAGAGCTAACCAAAATCCTTGGGGGAACTCTGCCAAAATCTCACCAGAGACTCTCCAAGCCTTCCTTAAGCTAACCATTTTTTCCCCTCTGTTTCCTCTGTGAGAATTTAATTTTGAGCTCAAAATTAGGCCGGAACCATGACACATTTCTACACAGCCCCACAATGAACCAAACTCCAATTAACTTCCCCACAGTGAGCCCCACAGTGAGAGGAGTTTATCCCCCATAAAAGCCCCCTCTCAAACAGCCTCTAGCATAGCTCTAGACCAGCACTTGAAATCGAGTTTGATCAAAATCATACCTTGATAATTCATCAGGGCCTGAGACTTCATCTAGAGGTTCGTTGGACCCAATCAAAGCTAGCACGACCATCTGATTGAGGCCTCCTCTCTCAGACAAAGGTATTAAGCTCTAACCTTAGCCCGAGCTTCTTTTGATTCTCCATGTGTAATGGCTTGATTTCATGCTTGATAAACTGTATGTACGTCTTGAGTAGATAAAGGTTTAGAAACAAACCCCATGTGATTTGGTTGAGTTTAGGAAAAGATCTTAGTTTTAGTGTGAACGGTTCTCGGGTTATGTCATTTGAGGACGATAACGGGGAGCCGCCCGATCGCGCGTTTATTTCATCAACAGAGGAGATCAATCCATACCAACCTTTGGTGCGAAAAGGCTAGCCGCGTGGCAGCTGAGGTGGATGGCGACATCAAATGGCGGAGCGTCGCGTGTGAGTTTGGAGCCATTGTAGGATGAGCTGGTGCTGCGTGTTTAAGTAAGAAAATACAAATTTTCTGAATTATTTTTAATATCTGATCTTCAAAAATTCATATCTTTCTCTAAAAAAATCATAAAAATAAAAGAAAAATATCTCTTGCTTAGTGAACAGAGGAGAATAATGTAGACTAAAAATTAAAAATTATTTTCTTACTCCATGATTTTTAATGAATTAAATACTCTCTAGAGTATTTTAATTCATTATGATCAAACATTGCTCACCATGGCCTGAAATTTTGAGGGTTTGTTCCTCATAACAAATACTATGTCTTCTAATTTTTCCAAGGTCAGAGGGCATCGTTATGCTTCTGACATTAATTTTCATGCTAGCTTCTAACCCTAATTTTCCCTAATTTTCAAGCTAAGATGACTATGTTGGCTTATTTTAATTATATAAATTAAAAGATCACTCAAAAAATTATGGGATCAATTTTGTTGGGTTTCTTGTGGTTTGAAGAGCTTAGGAAAAATATTGTGATGATTTGAATAATTTTGTATCTTTTTTTCATTAATTAAATATTTTTACCTTGTATTAATTTATTTAAATTAAATATAAATCAAAATTTGACAAAATCAATTCCACATTGTTCATAAAAATCATTTTAACTCAGTTAAAAATTTCAAATTTATTTAAGTTAATTTGTCCATTAAAGTGGATTTTGTAAGTGAAAATAATATTTTTGCACAAAATAAATTATATTATATTAAATTAAATAAGCTTAGAAAAATTATGAAAAATAATTTTCAAAGTTCCTTGTGATTAAAGGCATTTAATAAAAATAAAATCCATTTTTGTGAAAATATTTTATTTTAAAAATATATTTTGAATTAAAAATAATTAAAATAATCAAAATTCTAAAAAGTGGAAAAGTAGTTCAAAATATGTCCAATTGTTTCCTGGTCACTTGGGACACCTTAAAATATTTTTCTTGATTTTTCTAAATTAAAAATAGATTTCTAAAGGTCTAAAAATGCATTTTACTTATTTTCCATTAAAATACATATAATAAATTCAAAATAAATCATAAAAATATAAAATTTATTCCTCTAAGTTTCTTGGACTTATGAGGGTTTAATAAAAAATTAAATGTGATTTTTGAAGATTAAAACATATTTTTGTATTTAAATAGTTATTAAAAATGACCTTTAAATAATTATAATAATTACAATATTATTCAAAAAATCATAAAATTTTTGACTAAGTATTCTTCTGACCTATGAAAACCTCCAAGAAATTTTCTATAAATTAAAACTTAATTTTGATTTACAGTATCAACAAAATCATAATTTCCCTAATCATCACGATTTGGAAGTTAATTAAGATCAAATGATTCTTAAGTGATGGGCTTATGCTAGAAAGTTGATAATTCACTTGTTTTAAGCCTAAAATTGGTGATGATTTGATCTTTCAATAAGAATATATGTCACTTAAGAACAAATTTTGACCACCACCTTTTTTCCCTTATGATTTTTAAGGGCTTGGCAGTGACTTATGCTCGATGTCTAAACTCAATTGATTGGATTTAGAAGATAATATGATTGAGGATTAACATCTTTTAAGCACTTCAAACCCATGGGCACCAAATCTTTAATAACTTGAGCTTGGCTTAGTGGCATTCATCCATATAACTCGTAAGTAAAGTGTCAAATTGACTAAAGCCCCTTATCCTTGAGATAATTGAATTATCAAGTTTCACTGGGCAATGGGGTAGCCACACTCTAAACTCGGATGATTAATGGAACAATTTGATAAGTTCAGAAATGAACTCAAAATAGTTCAATAGATCTTCAAAGTAGTTCAGGGTCATACCCCGAGCACTTAGAAATCTTTTGGATATTTTGAAGGACAAGTTGAACTTGCCATATTTTGTTATAGAATCATCCACTAAGAACTTCAGAGGCTCAATAAACTCATACATTGGGGATGGATAGCTATAAGTTCATCTACTCCTAAAATTTAAATTCTTTGCAAAATTATATACATGTTTTGCAAAGTACTAACCTTTCAGGTGGAGGAACGAGAAGAACCGACATGTACACTTTTAAATTATTGCATTTACCTTTATGTATTTCTTGCATCAAACTTGCATGTCAAACAACAATGTCACTCTGCATGAAAACCAAAACTTCTAGGATAGCCACAAAACCGAAAACATAAATTTAAAAATCAAACAAGATAAAATTCACCGCCACAACATTCAAAATATAAAACAACTCCAAATTTAATCACAAACATAACAAAATAAAAACTGCAACTAAATTAAGATGTCACTATCAGATGATCGAGAATCCCTTGGAAGAGGTAACCTACGGTTGCTAACGAGACTTCCCACGGTCTAAATGAAAGTATGGTACTCATTAGGTTGAGTTTAGTAAATTCATTTGGACTAAGTGAATCCAAAAAAAAATAGTGGTATCGGAACGAGGGAACCGTAAGATCCTAATCGGCCTAATCGGTGGTCCTAATCGGTGGCACTCTAATCAACTTTAATATGCCCCATAATATTTAAATAAATCTAACATTAGGACATTTGATTTGACATCATGACTTGACACATTAGAAAACTTAAACTTGCCAAAACGATGAGTTTGAAACTAGCGTCGTAGGCGGCACAATCATCTTCAATAGCAAAACATGTATACACCAGCTAAACCATCATTTCCTTAGAATTAAACAACAAACCATATGACTTCGAGGTTGTCCGCCTAGTGCGACATAAATCCTCACATCTTTCAGGCTGTTCATGTGATTGTTTCACACGGATGTAAGCCCTAATTAAATAAAATTGGTAGAATGAAACATTTGAATATTTCTCTACAAAACTGAAGTCAAACCATAGGGTAGCTTGGGAAGTCACCGAGGTTCTCCTCCGGAGCTATGACATCCTCTAGTCTCTCTTCCTTTGGATTCCATAATATGTTACAAATTTGAGTCATTCCTCTTTCACACCTCTTTATCTGATCTCTTTGAAAAGTCATATCCTTTGAAACTTCTTGAAGACAATATCTTTTTATTGAGAGTTTTCTTATGTGACTTCAGTTATCTAAGATGAAATTAACTATAAGGGTTTAACTTTATAAGAAACTTTTCCGAACTTAGCTTAATATAAAAACCTATTTAATTTTTCATATTAAATAGGGAACTTGTTGGCTTATAAATAAAAATGATTTTCGCATATCAAACGGATGTCATATGTTTCTTAGTTTATTTGATCGAGCCTCGCATCGAGCCTCGCAAGTCTTATGTTTATCTTTCGAGATAGATACATGACTTGAGGTGTAGTGCTCTTTCATTTAAACTATGAAAGATATGAAATCAGTTTGATTTCATATTTGTCTAAACTTATATATATGTAAATTAAATGTCTTTCCGAAGTGGGCGACGAGATTTCGATTCCGGTGACCGATTCCAACGGGCAACTCCTCAACTTTTTAGTGCTGACATCGTGGTATCCTCTTCACCAACAACTCCTTCATAGTTTGCTCTTACTTTGATTCAAATTGGGCAGAAGATCCTATCACTAGAAGATCCATACTAGGGCATTGTACATTCGATGGTGAAATTTTGATCTCATGAAAATTTCAAAAACAAACGACGACAGCCAAATCTTCCACAGAAGCAGAGTATCGTGCATTATTTTTGACTACAACAAATGTTATATGGATTCAAAGACTATTAGCTTAATCTCACCAATTTATGGACATTCCCGCTACTATTTCCTGCGACAACACATCCGCTATCGCTATGAACAATCAATCTTCCACCCTCACACCAAACACATAGAAATTGATCATCACTTCATTCAAGATCAAATTGCAGGAAAGATAATTAGAGTCCAACATATAGCCATCAAGATCAGATTACAAACATCTTCACGAAAGCTTTATCTACATCTAGTTTCCAACGACTTAGAAATAAACTTAACATCTATCCACTAGATTTATTTAATAAATTCAATGTATCTATTAAATGTTATTCCGGATTCAAAAGCATATGTATTTAATAAATTCGAATTTATGGGATTTCCAAAAATTTTATTTAATGTAAATCCTGATTGTTGCAAGACACCCCCTACGCACATCATATAGTATTATAGCCACAGCCCTCCTTTCTCCGCCCTCTTTAGTCCTACTCCGTTCACATTTCAGGTCGATCTCATGGGGGATACGGCGAAGCTTCAACTCTACTCCTACTGGCGGAGCTCTTCTTCCCATCGCGTACGCATCGCATTGAATCTCAAAGGCCCGTAAACAGGATAAAAACCCTAACTTCACAAATTTAAACTGATAAAACTTCCTCCTTTCCCCTTTAGGAATATTGTGTTTTAGTTTCGGATTGTAGCTGATTTGCTCATTCCTCTCTGTAACAGGGTTGGCGTATGAGTACAAGTCCGTTAACCTTTTGAAGAATGAACAGTCGAGTCCTGGTCTGAAACTCGCTGTTTTCGTTTTTCTTTTGTTATCATTTTTTTTTTAATTTGTGTGATTAAGTCTGGGGATTTGATTGCAGAGTTTGCTAAGTTGAATCCACAAAAATGCGTCCCGGTGCTGGTGGATGGAGATACTGTGATTGCTGACTCTTTTGTGATTTCATTGGTGAGTTGTTTACTCGTTCCGATTATCCAGGAGAGTTTTTTGGGAGAGAAATATTGGCTCTTGATTATGAGACATGGAACTGGAACTTGCTGTCTGAGATGGATTTTGTTTGCTTTCTTTGGTATAGTATTTGGAAGACAAGTATCCCGAGCATCCTCTATTGCCCAGGGATTTGAAGACTAGAGCTCTCAATCTTCAGGTAAACCAGGAATAACCGACTCTGTAATATCTGTTTGGGTTGCTTGAGTTATGGGTTTGGTTTACAATTTATGGTATTTGTTTTCAGTTTAGGCCTCCGGCATTTGGAAATTTAAGATGAAACTGTTCATAGACTATTGCATGGTTGAATGCTTGCTGCGGTAGAATGAGAAATTGAATGTCTTAATTTTGCACGAAGATCTCACATACAAATAGATAAAATGAGGGTGACAAATACAACAAGGACAACAACAAGAACAACAAGCCTTTATTTAATGAATCTTTTTTCTCCATTGTCCTACTGAGTGTCTTATTTTCATTTAATTCTAATAAATTAAGATTATTTTTTATACAATATGCCTAAGTCTTTTTAGGTCTTCCTCTGTCTTTCTTGACATAAGTCAAATCTAAAACATCTACTCTTCTTACTGGATCATCAGATGGTCGACGTTTAACGTGACCAAACCATTTAAGATGACTCTCTCTAATCTTGTCCGCCACTGCAGCTGCACCAACCTTATCACGAATATATTCATTTCGCATTTTGTCTCTAAGTGTCAAGCCACTCTTCCACCTAAGCATTCTCATCTCAACAATACTTAGCTTTGTTTTATGCCTATAGGTCAACATTCTGCGCCATAGAGAATTGCAAGTCTCACCACCTTTCTATAAAATTTTCCTTTCAGTTTAAGATGAAGGGGAGAAATGACACATCAAAATTTTTATGTAAAGAGCTTGAAAAAAAATGTAATCATAAGGTCTATCCTAATTCAAATAAGGTTTATGGTTACATTTATCATTTCAATACTTTGAGATTATGTTTAGAGTAACATATGTTTATTAATCTTAGAATTTTATATCTATTTTTTATTACATTTTTCTTGCAATCATTTTGTATAATTCTTATAATAGTTAATAATAACCATAGTCATCGCCGAAGGGTCTATCAAAATTCATTAAATCATTTTTGAGGAAATGCTTAAAAGTTGATGATTTGTCCAAACAACTAAGATGAAGGGTTTGATTTCTCTTGCTGGAAGTGATCATGGAGGCTTCTCTGCTTGCTTGGATTCAAGAAGAGCTATAAAGATTACAAGAATTCTAGGTGACTTATGACATATAAATTTTCTTTTTAATGAAATTTATCTTAACGAACATACATCAAATCTTAGGTGCCGTAAGTTCTAAATTCTAAACCATAAACACTAAGTAATTCACTATTTTAATTAAGTTACAAAAGTTTGGGTTTCTCCTTAAATGTAGAAGATGAGAAAGTTAGGAGCTCTTGTTTTGTCTCTTATGAATGTGAGAGATTATAGAAATGGTAGAGGGCAATAATGCTGATCAGATAACGACTGTCAGGAAATGACCGTTGGTTGACAACAATGGGGGGATGATTATCAGGATATGATGATCGGATAATGACAGTTGGATGATGACAATTGTTGATGGAGGTGGTTATAAGCATTGGTTGTCAGACAATATTGTAATGCTATTTAATTTCAAATACATGTACCAACTCCACTTTCTTATGTGGATAATGAGAATTCATTTATAATGTTTAAATAAACCATTTTCATTTTGATTTCTTTTTTGGTCAAAGTTTCTAAATATCCATCAAATATCTTAGGTTGATTCATTTGATCGGAAATCATTTCTTTAATATTTAAGTGCCTAATTAATTTTAAAATTATGTGATCTTCTGTCACGACATAATCTAAAACCTTAAAGTGAGATATAAATCACTTTGCTACAAACAAGTTCAATAAAGAACCTTAAAGCGAGATATAAATATTTTTTGTCACATATTTTCTTTGCTCTTTTTCCATGCGTAAATTTTTTTCAGTTAGCCATTTAATTTAATGTAGTTTTTTTTCCTGAAAATGAGTACTAAAAATATTTTGGCTTGTAGAATAATTTAATGGTTAATGACACTTTTATAATCTAGCAATCTCATGAATAAAACTTACATGCATGCATGTCATTATGAGTAAGTAGTAGCATTTTCATTTTAAAATGGACTTAAAACAGATGCATTGACATTTCATTCAAAAAGAACAAAGACAAATTTATTACATTTATCATATAGTAATTTATCCAATATAACATAATATTTTGTCACAGAATTTATTATTTCTCTTTTTCAAAATTGTTTCAATTTATATGTGCTAGTACATTAACGTTCTCAACTAAAACATAAGGGGATGACTCCTTTAATTAATATTCATTTACATTTCATTTCATTTATTACTTGCATTCTTTTTATTATGTATGTAAACAATTGAAATTTTACCATAATTAAACGTAAAATGAAAATATACTTATTTAATGTTACTTATTGTGGAATTATGAGTTTTCTATTTTAGATTTATTCTCATTCATTCCTCTCTTATTATGATGTATTTCTTTCCTTTTTGTTGTTTATTGTGTCTTCGATAAGTTGTAATGATTGGAATTAAGAGAATACAATTTTATCCACCTTTTTTTTTGGTATCAGAGCAAAAGTAGAAATCCTAGCTCTCCTTAGTTGCAGGGCCTCATCTGCTTGCTCCCACAACCGCCAGAGCCTCCCCAACAACCATCCAGCCCGTTCAACAACCAAAATAACGACTGTATCCGCTCTCATCTCTGGCTTCCCAACGAGCTTGAATTGAAACTGTATTGCATCACTGTAAGCCAAAATCTCGTTGTTTGCGTTCAATCCGTCGTTTCCGTCAAAATCATCAGATTAAGGGCTCAGTATCGCATTATTATATGCCGTGATACCGCCATCTACGTCTAGATCTGTTATGTTGTGGAGCCTAAAGCACCCACACATGACAATCAATTGCACAATAGTAGCCGGAAGCCAATTGGGCACGACGCACTCGTGACCGGACAGTGCTCTTGTGCCGATGTGGGCGTGCCTGTGCTGGGGTTCGCAGTGCGGCATAAAGCTTTTGGGCGAGCCAGTGCCAGTTCAAGGGTTCATCTTGAGCAAACAAAATAATTACGTAGATATGCGACATGACCACGCCGTTGGGCGGTTGGTTCTAGAACAATTCTTAAATTTACAATTTCGAGTGATGCCGAAGATACTCTTGCGTGCAGTTTTGTTCGAAAAAGTTCTTATGAAGGAGAGAAGAGTTATGGTGGAGGATTTTAGCGTGTATTTCTCTTGTGAGATCAAGAGGAAGGGTTTGGAGGAAGGTCTTGTAAGTTCCATCGATTGTAAAAATGATATTTGAGTGAGTATTCTGTACATTTTTGGTTTTTCATAGTAAAATTTGTTTGGTGGTGTGGTTCTTTGATTTTTTTCCCATTTTTGGTTCTTCACACATTAAATTTTGGTGTGCTTTTTCTGGAAATATTTAGTTGTGTTTCTGTTTGATTTTTTTTCAATTTTTTTGAATTATTGCAATTCTATTTCACGATGTGGTTTTGATTTTAATTGGATTGAATCCCACATAAAAGTTTATTGCCATCATTCCAACAACGTGGTAGTAAAGCAGAGGTTTGATTCGAGCAAGAGCAAGGGCCGGTGAAGCAAAGACCAAGTGGAGAAACTCAATAGGATGAACTTCATGTTCTTGAGGTTGCAAGTGGAGGATTTGTTGTACCAGAAAAAAATGTATTTGATTTAAGGTACCACTAAGAGGACTAAGTTTATGATTATGGAGGAATGTGAAATGTTGGATCAAACAACCCTAGATTTGATCTATTTATCACTTTCCTCATCTGCTGCATTCAATATAATAAATGAGAAAATCATGGTGGATCTCATGGAGACATTGACAAAGATGTATGTAAAACCATCTGCTTCAAATAAGATTTTTTTGATGAAGATATTATTCAACATGAAGATGATGAAAGATAGTTCAGTGATATAACATCTGAATAATTTCAACACTGTAATGAGTTAGTTGTGTTATGTAGGAATCAATTTAGCTGTTGAGGTCAGACAATTGTTGATATTGTCTTCATTGCCAGACAACTGAGATGGTTTGGTCATGGCGGTGAGTAATTTCTCTGGGAATAAGAAGTTGAACTTCAATAACATTGAGAGATTGGTGTTGAATGAAGAAATTTACAGAAAATTAGCGAATGACGAATCTTCAGGTTCTGCGTTGAATGCAGAAAATAGAGGAAAGAATCTAGACAAGAATATATGCACAGAAAAATTTAAGTCTAAGGGAAGAACGGAGGTAATAATAGAGAAGAGTTCTGGATTTGCAGAAAGAAAGAACATTTCAAGGGGAACAGTAAAGTTCAAAGGAAAGCTGGTGCTGAAAGACAAGAAATGAATATCTCTACAAACACCTCTACAGTTGAAATCCAAGGTGACTCTCTATCCTTAGTCCGTGCTGAATCTTGAATAGTAGTTTCGGGCATCTCTTTTCACGCATGCTTCAATAATGAGGTATTCTAAAATTACACTCAAAGTGATCCGGGGAAGATTTATCTGGGAGATGACAAGGCCTATAATATCTTAGGAAAGAAGGATTTGGATATCAAGTTGTCAAATGGAACAGTCTGGAAGCTTACCAAAGTTAGACATGTTGAATGTCTAAAGAGAAATTTTATATTTGTGAGTCAGCTGACATAGTCAGAGTTTGTGATTACTTTCACAAGTGATCGTGAAAGGCGACCAGGGGGCAATAGTGATGGCTCGATGCAACATTGAATGCACTTTTTACCTGATGAATAAAATGACAAATTTCATTGATGTGGTTAGAACCAAGGTGGATGTAGATCTATGACACTGTAGGCTTGACTATATGAGCAAGAAACATATGAAGTCTTTACTTTCAAAGAATAAACATTAGGGTTTAAAATTAGTAGATCTAGATTTATTTGAATATGATATATATGACAAGTAGAAGACATTTTTTTCTCTAAAAGTAGATCAGTTGTGAAGTCAAAGAAACTGAAGTTAGTGCATACTAATGTATGGGGTCTTACTATTTTGTGCATTGGAGAATCTCATTATTTTGTCACTTTTATTGACGATTGCACCAGAAA